GTCATCAGGAAACTCCACAGGTCGAACACCCTCCCGAAATCGCCTTACAAAGAACGCATCCCACGATTCATATCCAAGAGTCTCCGTATCCTCAGCATCGGGACAAACAAACAACTCCTTAAACCCCAACCCTCCACCTTCCAACCTTCCATTCGCCCTCTCCGCCATCACAACCTGCCCAGAAGCAGACACCCAAGCCCTCAAACACCCCCTCGACTCCCCCGAAGCAAGAAACTCGCCCCAAGCACTTAACACCTTCCCCATCGCCTCATTTACCTCCGACCTCCGAAAGAACTCGTAACCCGCCGCCGTGCCCATGGGATAATTCAACAAGGCGTTGATCGGCGCGGCCACGAACCCCATGGCATCCTCATTACCCGGCCGGTCAAAGAACTGCGGCCCGGAGCGCATGATGACGTTGACGACCTGCAGGAACTGGCGGAAGGACTGGACGGCGGGTTGCTCTGTCGGGTCGCGGGGCTGGAGGGCGGCGGCTTGAGTGAACATTTGGTCTGCTAGGACAGCGAGGTGGGGGTCATTTTCGACGACGGTGCGGAGGTTGGTGAGGCTTGGGTTTAGGTCGTCGACAACGGTGGCGGTGGCGGTCTCTAGGTTCAGGGTGGGAGTGGTGGTTGTTGGTTGGTGGATTTTGTGGGCGAGCCATTTTTCAGAGGTTGAGACATCTTGGTGGTTTGGTGGCTCGAGGCTAGGTTCGGCGTCCTTGTTGGACTTGAAGCTGTGGATGAGATAGTAAAGCATGATGAAGTGAGGCCGATGAGTTGCTGCGTTTGGGAGTAGATGGTTTCAGTGGCCGACATGAAGGACACCAGAATGTGTGCCGGTACGAGGTGAGTATCGAGACAAATTTGTTAAGGGACAAGATTTATACCATATTTTCTAACAAGCAACGCGTACTCCTGAATGAGACGAACCTTATGAGTAGGCTCTTGTGCCCTGGCATCGACTCTCGATGTTTCACGGGCAGCTAACGTATTGGCAGACGACATGAGACAAAATCCACTTGTCTTACTGCGGGACTGCAGGATGCCGTCAGATCGTCCAATCGGACCACAACCGCAGTCAGGAGCTGAGGCTGGGGTGACACGATTTGCACAGCTTTTGACATATCTGGTGTCAACTTTCAGGCCGGTCAAGCAAACGTCTCAACACAGCTTCCAATGTTTCTCTCCCTTCACCGCTACTACTGCGCGGTCCCCTTCCTTCGATACGAACACAACACAACGGGGTCCCGGTTCCGCAAGACTCAGTGCTCGCAAAAGTTCCACTCCATAGTCGTCATCACCCCCATCCCCTGCTCGGCAATCGTCGTCCGCTCCTCCATCAAATCAGTCCGTATCCTCTTGGCCTCCTCGATCCCAATCGGAAAATCCATATTATCAAACACCATATCCGTAACCTCGGGCGGCAACGTCCCCAACCGGTCTCCCGGCGCCGCGCCCTCCTTCCACCACCCCCTCTGCTGCGGCGGCACATTCGCCGTACCAATTATCGGAATCCTCGGGTCCACGAGGAACAGCGCGAGGATCTTGCGGTGGCCCGCCTTGGTCTTGTCGACGAGCTCAAACGGCGCAACGCAGTGCTGGTAGACGTTGGGGAACGCGAGAAGCCTGTCCTCGCGCGTGAGCACGCTGCCGAGGCGCTGGTTCGTGTCCGCGACGGAGTTGATCGCCAGCGTCCGGTCAATGGCGTGGAAGTCGCCCTGCTCGTAATTGAGCTCCCCCATGAGCTCCTCCCTGTCGGCGACGGTGCGGAAGGCGAGGTGGCTGTCGGTGATATTCTCGTTGTCGTAGTAGTAGAGCGCGGTGGCGGCGATGTGCTCGTTCAGCTGGCCCTCAATGTGCCAGGACCCGCCGTCGTACGTCGGCTTCTCGGGCGTGAGGTGGATGTTGGCGAGCTTCACAATGACCTGGATGCGGTCGGCATGATTGAAGAAGCCGGAGGTCAGGTTGACGTCCTTGGGCTGCAGCTCCATGGGCTTGTACGCGGGGACCGGTGGCTTCTCGATTGGGTGGGTGCGTTCAAACCAGATCTTGTCTCTCCGCCAGACTTCGCGGCTGGGCTCCTCGGCGCTATATCCGCCGGAGTCGTCGTTGAATTCGTCCTCGTCACGTTCGGCCTCGTCTGGGTCTACCGGGCGGTTTTCGGGACAACACCACCGGCTGCACTCCGCTAGGCATTGTGTCCGGGCTGATTCACAGGGGATGCGGAGGATCTCGTAGTCTTCGTGCCACCTGTAGACCAGATCCCACATGGGGAGAGCCTTCTCGAGCACCTTTTCGATGGTGGTGTAGAGACTGGCATGATGCTGGGGGTGCAGGTTGTTGATGTAGCTCATGATTTTCGGCTTGCCCTCCTCGATGTCGATGTCGCACGGGAGCCACTGGTACTTGACGGACCACAGGTCGTCGGAGGATTGGTGGTCGGGATACCTCTTCTTGGGAACGGGGATGACGTCTCCTGTGCCGCAGGCCGCCAGCGTGTCTTTGAGCAGGATGCGCTTAGCGGCGACGATGCGAGACTTTCCAAAGACAAGAGGCCAGAGAGAAGGGTGCACGAGGTCCAGGACCTTGCCGTCGCTACCGGGATGCCAGTCCTTTTCGTTCTCGGGTATATTTTCGAGAGCGGCCACGCCTTGTTTGAGCTCCTCTTTTACTTCCGGGGTGATGGCGCTGTCAGACTTGATGACGGCGGACGAGGCATCGAAGATGGGGATCAGGCCAGTGGCTTCGAACAGCTTGGCTTTCTCGCGGAGCTCAGCAAGCGCCTGCATTGCAGGTTAGGGGTCGCTGTTCAACGAGAAGCCGTCTCAGATGCAGCCTAGTACTTACAAAGGTAAACAAATCGTCGTCGAAATAAGCATACTTGAGACCCACAGCCTTCCAGTGAACAGCCATGACCTCCTGCTTCCACTTTGCAACAATCTCCTCATCAAAGACCTTGACATGCCAATCGGGCTTGTTCGTGATCTTCTCAACGAACCACAAGATGGCGATCTCTCCCCACGTCAGGGTGGATGCCTTCCACTCCTGCACGGCGCTGGGGAACGCGGCATCGTCGTCGGGCATCTCCCAGAATTCTTTGCCGAAACCTGGGCGTATCAGGGGGGCGATCTCGCCGTCGTTCTTCCTTATTGTTAGCCACTATACTACTATGATAGGGGTTGGTTAAGGAAGTCTTACGTAGGCTTGAAAGTCATCCGTCATGTCCGACCGGTCTAGGACGGTCCGGATGACGAATTCGGGGACATCCTTTCCGAACTCGCTCTTGACCCATTCCGCACCGCGCGCGAGGGTTGGAGTGATGTCACCAGGTAGGCTGTCGGCCCACTTGCAGAGTGTGAGCCGCTCGCGGACAGTCAGCTTGGTCGACATATTAGCTGCTGCCAGTTCCATTTGTGGCAGTCAGAGACCGAGTATGATAAGAGCTGATAAAAACAGCCTCGATCCAATTCCTGACCACGATGGTACGAATGATGAGACGATGGGATTGCAGATGGATTTCGATCTATTAGTGCGGAAGATCTCGAGCTTTTGTACAGCACCGCCTTGAGGATCGCTAAGAGGCAAGGATGGGGATCGATGCTAGACGGCCGTGGGATATTTGTGGTTCCAATTAGGCTGCAACGCGTCTCGACGGTAAAGTTCAAATGGTTTAAGGATGGCGCCTAACAGTCGCAGAGGCTCGACCACAGAACGCGAGATTCCCACGAAGTCACGTTGCTTGTCGAGTTCTCCCTTTGCCCATGTCTGGTCGTGCTGTTGCCTGCTGCTGCCTGTGATGGTGGGGACCGCCGGACCGCGGAATCGACCGAGCTTCAGGGAGCGGTACTGACCAATGGAAAGCAGCCGAGGAGTCCAATGCCGTGAAACAATACTACCACCTATCTGCCTCGATAAAGTCTAAGGTGGCATACTGTTGAGCTGGTGTGAGTTAAAAGTGCAGTGCAAATCTGCCCCCGCATGCACGCATGGCCTAACGAACACGTGATGAGTGCAGATGCCGTAAACGGGCCGAGAGACCGGGCCCGCGTGAGTAGAAGACCCGCTATCGGATATGGGATAGCACTCCGGATGGGTACCGGTCCGGAGCGGGGCGGCGTGGACAAGATCGGAGGCCGAGTCTCTGTCTCCTACCTACCTTATTACCAATGGAACGCGCGCGGTAGCGGTCGGATGGATAAATGAGAATAATATGTGGAGTCTCATAACGTCAAAGAGCGAGTCGGGAAAATGCGACTGCCGCAGCGCCGCCCGCCTTCGCGCTTGCTTTCCGCTTTCAAAGAGCTGAGTAAGGAGGGTCACCAACCAATCTGCGAACGCCGAAATGAAATCTCTTCCAACCCATGGGTCGGTCACATTGAGAAACCAGAAGTCGTGAATGCGGTGAATGAGATATTCCATTTAATGCCTCAGTCGAGTTCACGATATTTTTCCAGAGAAAACGTGAAGTTGCTGGCATCTGATTCTGCTCTTAGGAGCAAAGTGGGCTTCTAGCCAGTCTCCAATGTCTCTCCAACACAGAATCTGGCGGGGAGTGGTGGCCAATCGAAGAAACCCCAAATCCAAGCACCGTCAGCCGCGCGGTGTACTTGCAGGGGCTACTTTTCCTACTTCCGTCTGTAAACAGTTTAGTCTACCCGCCGCGGGCAATTCCTACAAGCCTTAGCATATCGCTCGGATGGAGGGGCGGCGGCGGCGTGGTCTCCCGCGCGCGCATGATCCCAGGATAAAACCTCCAAAGATCATCCCCCCTCCCCCTCCATGAAATAAGCCAGAGAACGAAACTTCCTTCGAACTGCCCTTTCTCCAAATACCATGAAAGTGGTGGCGCCTGCAAGCAGAATCTTGTCGCAAAGTAGCCGCACCCGCGCAGTTCATCTCATCTCCAGACCCCATCGACATCCCTTCCCGGGGCGCAGCGCATTCGCCAAAACTCGATACCCAATTTCTGAACTTCGGAATATCCGAACCTTCAACACTATGTCTGCCAGCGCGACTGAACAACCACAAGCAACGCCGCCGCCGGCAGCACCGTCAACAGAGGACGCTACTCCAGCGAAGCCTGAGTTACCACCTCTGACCCCGGCCGAGTTCAAAGTCTACAACCAAATGGCAGAAAAGATGAACTACTTTGTAAGAAACTCAACTCACAGCAACCTAATCTCATCTCATCACGCACCCTCATCCCTTCAAATCTCACACATCTCTGAATATCCTCATTCCTCTCATGTACCTAAAACAAATGAGACAAGACAACACACTACCCACACTGCTCAAAACAGAAAAGAAAAAAGACTAACTTCAAACCCCAGCACAACCACTTCCGCCACCAATGGACCCTCCTCCACACAGCAGCCTCAACAGGCCGCCGCCCCCAAAACATGTCCCTCAAGCAATTCCTCGACACCGGCCTCCAATTCACCCGCCACCTCACCGCCCACCACGGCATCGAAGAAGCCCACGTCTTCCCCATGCTTGCCCGCCGCATGCCCGAGTTCCGCACCGGCGGCCGCGGCGGTGGTGCGGAGCTCCTCCGCCAGCACAAGCAGATCCACGACGGCATGGACAAGTTCGAGGCCTACCTGCGCGCCTGTCGCGACCGCGAGACGGAGCTCGAGCTCGGCGTCCTCAAGGAGAAGATGGATAGCTGGGGGGAGGTGCTCTGGACGCACCTCGATCAAGAGGTGGAGACGTTGGGGGCGGAGAATATGAGAAAGTATTGGACGATGGAGGAGGTGAGGAGGATGCCCATGTGAAGTCGTCGTGTACACATGAGTGTGGTCTGATCTTGGGGGGGTTGGCGTTTAGACTGGGAAAAGAGGCGGAGATGGGCATAGCGTTTTATGCTTTAAATTCTGATATTTTGAAAAATATATTGACATCTATTGTATCATAAACATGAAATGGAAAATTCGTACCCAACACCAGCGAGCAGATCGCCCGCGTCACAACAGACTCTGATACCACGAAGCTTTCCACAGAAAAGCTGTCTCGATAGTGGCGGCATGGTGCGTCTATCCGTCTCATATGCACCTCCTCCTCGTCCCCAGTCTTATTCGAGTTCTCCCCATCCCACCCTATACTGCCTCGTCCTCTCAAGCAGTCTCCTTCCACAACTGCCGCATCTGCACAACACCAGGGATGCTCCCCAACAACCCGATCCCCATCTCCGGCACGAACCCCTTATCCATACTCCAGTGCACCGTCAGCGGGAACCACGAAGCCTGCCTCGCCAGCGTCCTGCCCCAGACGTCCGCCCACTCCTTGTACTCCTCGCTACCAACCTCCAGCTCCCCGCGCCGGATCGCCGCCCGCCGCCGCAGCTTCTCGATCGCCAGCCGGCCGAGCTCGCTGCCCACGAACACGCTCCAGAACCGCACGCTCCACCGCGCCGCCGTCCCCTGCTGCTTGGGCGTCATCGGCAGCACCCCCTTGGACGCGAGGTACGACGAGCTCTCGAGCGACTGCAGGATCAGACACGCCACGACCTGCAGCCACGAGAGGGCCCGATCCAGCGCCGCCTCCGACGCGTCCTTTGTGCCCTTTTCCCTTTCTTCCTCCGTGATGGCCGGCGTCGTCATGAGGCGGCGGAGCCAGAGGTACAGGGGCAGCAGCGACCACAACCTCGTGATCGTGCGCGCCTCGCTCAGGAGCGACGCCAGCGCCCGCAGGTGTCCCGCGACGCGCATGCCGCGGCTAGCCGCTGCCGCCGCGGGCGGCGCCTTGCTCAATAGGATAGTCGTGTCGGGCGGGAGGGAGAAGGCGAGGGCGACGAGCTTGCGGGCCGAGTGGCGGAGGGCGGAGACGCTGAGGGAGTCGATGACGGAGGCGGCGAAGCGGGAGGTGTAGCAGAGGCAGCAGAGGACGGCGTCGATGCCGGACGGGGTGGCGAAGCAGCGGTTCAGGTGGGCGACGAAGGCGTCGACGTTGGAGGGCATCGCGGCGAGGATCTGGGCGAGGGTGGGCTTCTTCGTCGTGCCTTTTGGAGTAACCGAGGCTGGTGATGCGGCGGTCGGCGGCGCGGGCGCGGCGGGGATGGGGTCGCCGGAGGGGAGGTCGGAGACGGCGGGCGCCTGGTCGGCTGTTTCTGTGGACATGATGGGCGAGGTGTTGGCCGTCTTTTTTTTTTTTTTGGGTGGGCTTATTTGGTTGTCTCGAGGAACCCGATCTGTTGGTGGTTTCTTTCCGTCCAAGGAAAAAGTAAAGAGGACGGTAAGAGAAACCGGAAACAGTCTCACGACGACCAGGGGTTTGTGCGAGACAAGCTCCTTGGTAGGGTACTGTTTTCGAGCTCGGTGTCGGTGGTAAAGCTTTATCCCGAAGATCGGAGGGCGAGAAGTGACAGAGGAAGAGAGGAAGCGGGTTGGGAAAGCTTGTATGTGGGTTTCTCCTCTGTTCGACGTCACGTCAATGGCCAAGCTTGTGAAGAACCGAAGGACAGGCAGGAAAGGGGACCCTCTAGGAAGTGGGAGGAGCTTTGGTGTTGTAAGAAAACCCCGACTAAAATACAAGTCACCCCCAAAAATCGCTCTCTCTCTAGTTCAGAAGAGGTTCAGGAAAGAGGAAAAGGTAGCAGACAGACGGGCAGGGAACGCTAAAATAAAGTCCAGCTGGCAGCTGCAAGAAGAACCCAAAGCCGTTTTGTCCCAATTAGCCATGTTCATGCGCCGAGGTGGATGCTCCGTTGCAGTGCTGGTTTTTACCGAACGGCACACGCCGATGGATGCCATGGGATGGTCACAGGGTTTACTGTCATGTAGCTAGGTAATCGCCTAAGGGACTCGTCTCGTTAGAGCAGGTAAAAGCTCCCTTCGGCTCATGTTTGTGCGACGCAATAAAAGAATGGCGTTGCTGCCGGCGGCGGGCCGATGCTCCCACAGCGCCATGGAGCTGCACCGCTGCTGCAATTGCTGCAGACCTTCCTTTGGCTTTGGAAAGCTCAGGTCGTTCGGCATTGGAGTGGATGCCACAATGACCTCGGTTGAATTTGATTCGGCAAGCGCGGCGGGTTTTGGTGGAGAGGGCTCGGAACTCTAGCTCGGAATGAAAAGCAGGTGGGAGCCAAAACAGAGGGAATCCAAGGAATCAAAGGAACGTGCCCACGCTGCCCCGGATTTTGGCCGTTATCAGATCAAATTTTTAAAGCGCGCACACACCGTGACACACCATTCCATGTCGAGCAATCTTCGTCATGTACTCCATGAGTCCATAGGTATGCCTTACTCACTGCCAGTGGAGTCTGTCTTGACTCTGAGTACTTCATGAGCTCATTCTCCAACGGGGCTTGTCCGAACACCTAAAGCCCTCAATATTGGGTTAAAGTCCGATCATCCAATACTTAATCCCGATGAGTTGCTCAGGCTCGTCGTACCATGAATGGGATGCCGAGTGGATTACGACACAGGTTGTCCACATTTTCTACAGACATTCGCAAAACCGGTATCCGCTTCCATTCGCATATGTCAAGTGAGGTCTTTCTGCTGAGCACGGGCCTTCTAATCTTGGAATGGCTTATCGGTATCGTTCATGATTTATCTATGATCATTAACATGGAGCTTTTCCCTCAAGAGAACAGTGTTCGCGTTCGTTACCTTCGACTTTGGCATACGCGCCTACAGGGACCAACTGCAGTTGGCGTAACAGTTAGGTTACATTCTCGTCAAGAGCCTGTAGGAGCCATTGTGCAAGCTGTTTTCGGATGTCTGGGGCTGAAGCTCGACAACGTATCAACTGCGTGGGTGCCTTTGTGAATGTAAAGTAATGAGAACTCGCTGCGCTCTCTCCAAGCGGCAAGAAAGAAATGATTCCAAATCTCTCAATGTTTTAATTGCATCTGATACCAACAAAAGCAAGCTCAGAAAGTAAATATATGGTGAAAATCTAGAGAATGATTTATGTCTGCAAAAGCTTCTCGAAATCTATTATCTGTCCTCAAGCTGCCGCATATTTTCTTATATGCTCCCCTGATGTGAGAGTTGTATCTGAACCCGAACTTGCTCACCTATTCGACGCTAGTAACTAGGCTAGGCTTATTCACCTCCATTATTGTCTAGGGGGGGAATATAGAGCTGGTGCTTAGGGATGTTATAGACTGCGGCGTGTTGTTTTTCTTAGGTGTTGAATATCCTCAAGACTCTAAGAAACAAGAAGATTGATAAGGTAGGCTGAGAATGAATAGTTCTCTTGAATTGGTTGTATTACTCTAATTTTCCATCCGAATCTACTGAAGTCGAGTCCTTCAAAAAATCGTTTTGTTCCTTTTGATCTACAGGAGCCAGTGACGAACACCCCAAGCTTTAATGCAATGTCTCCAAGCTCGTGTCCACGCTGAGTGCCATACTCTAAGAAGAGCAGCATTGCCACTGGGTAACTATGTAAGCCGACGGACGTAAAACAAGTGCGACATCTTGTACTTACCGACTGGTATCCCTTGCATTCGAATTTGTTGTTACCCAGGCCTGCGGCGCTCAACATCGTATTCTTCTTCACGACGAGCGTCTTGAGATCGGTTCTCTGATCACACGTCATGGCAGGACCTCCGTCAATGGAGCACGTCCCCGTCATGGTAGCCGTCCAAGTCTTCTCGTTTATCGAACATACAGTCTGCCGGGCGTCGAGCTGCTCGGTGGGCAAGCCCTGGGCCAGAGAAGCCAAGGTAGCGGCCAAAAGAACGAGAGTGTGAGAGAACATTGTCTAGGATGTATCGTGGTTTGATTAGAGGCGATATGGTAGAAGTGATGTGTCAAGTGCGGTTGTGCGAATGAAGTTCCTCTATAGAGACGATGAGATATAGTCAGTCCTTTAAATAGTCAATGGCATCTTGCGGTTGTCTACTATGTATTGTTGCAGATAGAGCTGCCGGAATTGCAGTTGTAAGTCGGCGTCAACTGCGAGTCATGATGAACCTTATATAAATTCGGATTTATTGGACGCGGAGCGTGCGGTGTTGTGGAAGGTTTCCACTGAAGTGAAGTCTACTAAGTCAGCTCTTGGGACCTGTGAATTCCTGATGTGGGAGCCGACCCCTGACCGGCAGTGCCGGGAGCTCGAATTACTCCGTATATACTTTGGCCAAGACCCCACTGTAATGAGAATCAGAACTGCATCTGGGGATACTGTCATTTACCTGACACTTCAATGGAATTTACAGCTCTTGCAAAGCGTACACTACCTTGGTTTTGCGAATCTCTGTGCACAATGTTATCGTTATCTTATCGAACCATCTCATCGCTAAGTCTTTCTTCTTCTCTGTCTTCTCCCTGATTGACTCAACTTTCTCGTCGACCTCGTTCTCTCATGGATCTTGGTGTAGATTAGCCTGACCCATACTTCATACAGCAAGAATACGAGAGGCACGATGATGGTATTCAGTCGAGTTGGTGAGGACTCAAGTTGGGATTGTGAAGGCATTAGTTAAAAGACGGAAGGAACTTCATAAGTACGGATGAACGCGTCCGTGACTAGTCATCGTCACAATCTATGTCATACCACACAAGGACAAACCTCGTGGCCGAAAGGAAAGTGAGACTGTCTCGTGGCACCTATGACGTCGAAAAAGATAGTCGATATGTACGGATGCCGAAGAGGCCACGTTCGGCAAGCGGCGACGGAAACCCTTCAAACTCTAAATTCTTGCGCTACAATTTCGATCCACTCAAGCAAGGCCAATAAGTCAAACGCCTGGCTACCTCTGCCTACCTGCCTCCACGCCGAGCCGAAGAGCATCTAAGCCACCAAAAATTGCACTACGCGTAAG